TTTGCTAAAGCCTAAGACAGATAATACTGAATTTATATAACTATGTGAACGATTTGGCTATAAAAAATAAAATGGGTTTATATTTAGCAACGTTATATGTAAACTGTCCTTAATTGTTAGATGTTAGATCGTTGCTGTACCAAAAACATAGCCTATTTAATATACGAAAAATAATATCATTAAAAGCTATTATGACGAATGTTACAGTAAAAAAGAAAAAAACATTAAGTGAGTGTATACTGTGCAACTGTTATACATAAGGTTTGAAAGTAAAATCATTATTGTGCTGTAAACGATATTTAAATGAATGTTTTACTTGTAACATAGAATTAATTTTTAAGAAATTATTTGTTCTATAGGCGTACAATGTCGTCGAACGCGAAAATATTTCTCTCGAATCGATCGAAATTCAATTCAAACTTTTCTAACAATTGTACTTTTTACTTTTACTCCAACTTTTTGTGATATAATTTAGTCTCTCTCTCTCTCTCTCTCTCTCTCTCTCTCGAATAGTGTAGAGCTATTTATCGCTATTCTTTGTCACCGCATTTGCATTCCAATAAATGTGTCACTCATCAGTATTTTTCACAACGATCTGTATATGTTACAAAAGAGCATATTCATTTGTGAATGTTGTATCCTATGCTTAAGTACATAGATATGTATAACTAATGAATGTCATCGTCCAGTTGATTTCTCTGCTATTAAGTGCATAGAAGTCTTATGTTTCAGTCTGATTTTCGGTTGAGCATTAAAAGATACAATATGATATATGCAAGAAACAAAAGTGTGAATGCAATGTTCAAATGCTCTTCCACAAACCTTTTTATACACGACTTTTATATTGTGAACAAAAAAGAGAAAAAAAATGGAACTTTTACCAAGTCTGTGCTCTTACATCTGTGTATTTGTATCCTGTATAAGTAGAGTTGTACGTGATAATATGATATTGCGGCGATACATCACGATGCGTATCACCCTCGACCAAGAAAAACTTCTGGTATTATATACTTCGTTGAGTTCGAAATGTGTTATTGACAATGTAGACTCTATTCTGAATTTTATGTACAACAAACTAATCTAATCTGTAAGAACATCGAGATTCCTCGATACTCTGTTTTAAATCTTTAGTGAAAAATATTCACAGAACGTGGAAAAAATAAATGGAAAGTTGCGTCTTTACTTTTACTACAAAGGATCATGTTTAACTGAAGAGCTAACAAAAAAAAATTGCGTACCTTATATACTACGAATATCGAGGAATTATCAATGAAATACTACGAACATGTTGAAGAAAAAAAAACTGCTATGAAACTTTTACTGATGTACAACTTTTACAAGGAATAAACAACCAATTTCATATATTCCGTCATGTTTTTTTAAATCTAAACGATTAGGTATCAGGACATTCAGAAATCATAAAACCAAGTACATTGCTCCATAAATATATTTCCGCATATTTTTCTCAATAAACTAATGTCAAATCATCGTTATTTATATAAAAAGCAGATATTTATATTGTATAATACAGTTGATGTCCTTAAAGCTACCTTACACGTGAGATTATCTTATATAGGCGATACAGTAGTTGCATATACCTGCGTATCCGTCTAGCAAACTGCCAACTATGAAAATAATACATGTGTTCTAACAATATGCATGTTTTGAAGTTTATATGTTCTTATGGAGAAATGTTCATAAAATTAGGAACAGTATTTATTGGAAAAAAGTACCTGTGAGATCTATACCTGTAGCTGTATAGAAGAACGTGAGGCTTTATGGAAATCTTTTTGACTAACTGTACGACAAAAGAGGATAAAATGCTCTGTTTATCGTACACGAGATAACTCAACATTTTCACTATACAAAATTAATTATAAAATCTTATAAAACGCAACAGAGATAAAATATTGACAATGTATTGCAACATCGAAGTTTACATACGCGTTTACATCGATACATGTCATTTAATTTAATTGCTGCTTCAATGATATGTTACCACGAAATTATACATCTATCAACTGCAACATGTGAATGTGACACTAAAAATTAAAAACTAGAGGAATTCACTTACTTCAATTATGAAATACTAAAAAATAACTTTGGTTTACTCTTTGGTTTACTCTTTGGTTATTTTTGGTAAAGATTAATTCCTAACACGAAGTAATATTTTACTTCTTTTACCTTTGTGATAAAATTCAGTATTAAAATCTTAATTTTAATCACAGTGAAAATCACGTTCTCCCAATTTTATAAATCTGATTCAGTGTTACGAGATTACTTTTTTAAACGGTGTAAATGAAAATTCTAGTATCTCGAATTTATCAATTTACCGAGAACGTGCACAATATCCGAAGACGTACCTCAAATAATAACTAGATAATATATTTCAGTCCATATTGTGTCAGGCAGCGTTGTATTATTACCTGTGCTGTACTTTACAACTGTACAACAGTACTGTACTCCTCGTACAACAATAACGTTTGTTCTCAAAATAATATAATCAAAAACCCAAGTCCTGAGAATTCAGCTCCAAAATATTGACTTCTTAAATCATTACAGCTACATTAGTGCGTCGTAATAATTTTTCAATAACGAACGCTCAGGAAATGAGATAGGAATGTCTTTCGCCAAATAATACTTTGAAATTATAAAAAAGAGTGGTATACTATTGTAATGTTAATATAAAGTTAAAATATACTGTCTGTCATTTACGTGATTGCAGTATCTGGTATTTCGTGTTTTGCTCGCTAAAAGTGACTACCTACATCCTCTTATGAGCGTGAACGTTGACGTACTCCGCAATCAAAACGCGTCTTTTATATTCTGAAATTGCCTTACTGCCAGATCGACTGGTAGATCGAATTTGTAGCTAGTAAGACGATCGAGGGTGTGAAATGCATCTTGGAAACCTGCTTGCAACAATAATAATGGAGTAAAGTCTATCCTAATTAAATTAGTATTTTACACATTGATATTTTAATTACCTGTTTTTACAACATAGCTCCACGACGCATAGTGATTCTCAAGAAGATACTGACATTGTAAAATAAGTTTTAACCAAGCAACGAGTTTGTTAGCACTATAATAAGACATATGTGAATTTCATTTAATTCCCCTTATCAGCAAAACCATCTACAAGAACATTTACTCACTTTAAGGATGCGCATATGAATGCTTTGAAATGAGAATCATAACTCCTTTTGTATGGATTGTGTGAAGCAATGATATTCCCAATTGTGGTTAATAAGCTCTGAAAATTTGTGTACCCTTAAGAAAGAAAATTCAACGATAAACAAAGAAAATATTACTAAACATATGATGGGTACCTGTTTGGAGGATACAATTCTTCCACCTGCTAGATCAAGATTAAAACTTTGAGACAATTTCTGCGCTGGACTAGAATTGTAACGGTGGCCGTTTTTAATTTCGTAATACTTCAGTACTAGCTCCCATGCATGCATTAAATTAGAAGTAGAAGGGTTTCTTTGGGGGAAACATCCCACGAACGGTACTACACTATTGGAACGCGCATCGGACATTAAACCGTGTTGTATTAAGTCACGTATGGAAGTGGCTAGATGCTTCCTTACAGCGGATGTCACTCTGGCATTGCAATGGGACATAGAATCAGAATCCGAGGCGTAATCGTTCTCGTTAGCGATATCGTCTTCTTCAGGCAGACGCTCGATTTCGGCAATGGTCTCTATAACGTGTTCGACCGCGATATCTAATCTGGTTCTCAAGTCACGCCAATTATATACAGAATTTTTCTTAAAGTTTCTTCGAACTCGGTCACTACCGCATCCTAATTGAGACACTAGGAACATGTGCAACAGAGCAACGACCTTTTTAACTGTGTTAAGGGTTTTAGTTCTATTTTCTTCCTCTGTTTTTCTATTAAACGATTGTTTAGCATATGAACTGGAACCAGCTGAGCCACTAGTGTGTACTGGGCATGCACAGGTGCATGCCAATGTCTCTGCACTAACTTCTCCTTGAAGGTAATTTATAAAACGTTCTAAATCCGTGATTTGGGTTTTCAACTGTGATACTAATTGTTCCTTCATTTTTAAAGGACTAACAATCTGGAAATGATTTTTGTTAAATTGATTTATAATTCTCTTTAATTTTTGCATCACTAGTTGTTTAGTAATTCATTCTGTTAGACAAAATAATTTACCTGACTTATAGCATAATCTACTTGCCATCTTAAGTCATCAACTGGTAATTTACAAAGATCATCAACATTGAAATTTAATTTTTCTTTCAGATGGTCTGAAAAAACAATGATGTCAACCTAGATTTCACAGGAGAATACTTATTTTAAGAAACTTACTAATTATAATACTCTGCCTCTCTAATATCATGCTCTGTGGTAAATCTGCATCACCAGTTTCATAGGCATATTTTTCTAGATCTTCTAACTGAGATTTTAATTGGCATATCAGTTCTTTCTGTTTTGTTCTTTGTAATGCCATTTTAGATTCAACATCAACATCATTTATTACTCCAGATATCTGTTGATTATATATGCAAAGCCACTTAACAATTTTTTTTTTTTTTGTTAATATGTAAATACTTAGGAGGCATGAGATTAATAAATGTATATACTATGAATAACTTATATAAAAATATTTATTTTCCAATACAACATAAATATTATTTGAGATCAGTAAAAAAAAATATATCAGATTTGTAAGCATGTACTTTACAAGCAAAGCGAATATAAACATAAGCCAAACACATAGGAATGATAGAAATGACAAAAGAAAGAAATAATAAATGAAAAATAAAAAATAACTTTAAAAAATTAATGAAACAGGAGCACAGTAAATTTTCACATGGCTTACGCTTTGCTTGCAGGACATTGGAGAAGTTGGAGTAATTGATCTACTATCAAGTGACAAATTATTTGGAACATCTGGTATTCCCCTAAATGCAAACTCCTCTAACTCTTTGAGCAATGTTTCTTTCTCATTTGCAGGTGCATCCACAATTTGTCTTAAACGCAATTGAACCTATGATATCCACATTCTCAAGATTAAAACAATACTTTACAACAATTACCACCTGTAATCTTTGATAAATTTAATACCTGAGCAAAATGAGTGGTCAATGCTATAAGAGATGAATTGAGCATCTCTTGTTCCTCTTCCAACTCTTTTAATCTTTCCATATCATATGACAAACTAGCACAATATACAAACAATATAGAACAATATGAATAAAAGATAAAAACATTTACAAAATTACTTTTCTCTGTTATTTCTTTAGATATGTACACGATTGAACAAGTAGTAAACAGTGCTTCTTTTATATCCATAAATATCAAAGTACTCACTTCTCTATGTTATCGACATATTTATATTCGTCTGCAAAATCATTATCACCATCATTCGCGCCGACGGGCGCCCATCTTTCGCCCGACGGTCTATCACTTTCATCCGAATTCTCGATATCCTCGTTCTCGCAGCCCTTACACTCTCCAGAGTTCATTTTCCTATTGTTTACGGTTTCGATTCCCCTCGAAAGTTTGGTCTTACATTCATAAATTATTTTACGGCGATCTACCCTGATTAGAACGAACGCTTTGATATGTCACGACTTTCTTCCCTATCGATACATTCCACGAGTTTCATTCTTGTCGTAACACATCACAACGTTCGGTCTTCCACCTTCATCACGTTTAATCCATTAATTAACTTCTGCGCACGTGTACGACTGAAAACGTCACTCATTGCTGTCGATTTTGCATTCGTTAAGGCGTGTTCTTACGGCAAATGTCGTCAAATATCGCAAATTTAGGACTCGCTCTGATTTTTTATGATAAAAATCGCGCTACAATTGATTCAGGCTACTACACAGATGAGCGACATTCAATAACGATCTGTTGCATCAAGTTTTCGTTTTTCATCACCGTTTTACGTTTATATTAATAAATTTCAACGAAAGTCTGTCTATGCTACACTGGTCACATAAAAATTTATCAACGATTGTTCAAGCGTAGGTGCAATGAGAAACATCGAGAGATTATGAACGAAACATTAGCTTCGTTGAAGGTTTTTCAATAAATAGTAGTCTCGTTTGCTCGTTTGATTCTCACAAATGTGTCAAATTGCCGTAACTTCGAAAAAACGTTCTTTGTCGCTTTGTCGGACTGTGATCTATCGTTATTCCACTTGGATTACGAAAGAATAGGATGTGTAGCGAATAAACAGTGAGATATATTCATGAAAGAAATCCTTAAAGAGAAATATCGAATAACCTACATCTCTTGACATCCAGCCAGTGTTGATGTGCGCATTACTACGCTTTTGTGAATTATTCTGATCCGTCTAAGAGAGGAACATTCCGATAAGTGCGTCGCGTATCGTAGTATTCGCGATGATGCGGCAAGAAATAACTCTGACAAAGCCGGCACGTAAAAAACCGAACATTGACGCACCGATAGTCGAATGATTTTTCAAAATTTTCATGGAATAATCTTTAGCAAGTCTCATACTATTCACGAATCTAGCTGTTTGCCATAGATTTATCGATGATCTTGAAGAATCGTTCGTGAAGTATTATAGGTAATGGCAAGAATTTTTGGATGCTTTGTAAAATTCATTTGATTGTGAGATTGTAATTTAAAAACTATAAAATATGTATTATTAAAAGGAATTATAAGCTTTAAGAAGGTATTTTTTGACAGTTACACATGAAATGGGTAGTGCTTGGTGGCAGTGTGCAGCGTGTTTGAGAGCACAAGAAGAAGATATCTGTGAGTTACAGTTGAATCACTGTAATCTTTTTGATGTACCACCTGATGTGTTCATTTATGAAAGGACATTGGAAAAGCTCTACCTTGATGCCAATAGAGTAAATAATAACTGGTTTTTCACATACATCTATACACTTAACTTTCAAGGATGTTACTTATGTGTTTTATTACAGATAAAGGATCTTCCAAGGCCACTGTTTCAGTGCCATGAATTACGTGTACTTTCTCTCAGTGATAATGAAGTCACTATGTTACCACCCGCCATAGCATCATTAATTAACTTGGAATATTTAGACCTCAGTAAAAATAGTATGTATATAAGATTGTTTTTTAAATAAGTTTTGATTATAAGCAATGTCTTAATAATTATTGTACTCATTTTTCTAGGTATTAAAGAACTACCAGACAGTATAAAAGAATGCAAAAATCTTCGTTCTATAGATATCAGTGTTAATCCATTTGAACGTTTCCCAGATGCTATTACACATATTGTTGGACTAAGAGAATTGTATATAAATGATGCGTATATAGAATATCTACCAGCAAATTTTGGAAGACTTTCAGCTTTGAGAACATTAGAACTTAGAGAGAATAACATGATGACATTGCCAAAGAGTATGAGCCGTTTAGTAAATTTGCAAAGGCTTGATATTGGTAATAATGATTTCACTGAATTGGTAAGTTCATGTTTGTCACAATGGTTGTTTACTAGTCTGTACATATATTAATATTAATTACATTCTTTTAGCCTGAAGTAGTTGGGGATCTAATCAATCTCACTGAATTGTGGATAGATGGTAATGATATCAGACGTATACCAGTCAACATTAACCAGCTTTATCGGTTAAATCATTTTGATTGTACCGTGAATGCAATTCATGTTATTCCATCAGAAGTAGAAGGTTGGAGGGATATTTCAATCATGCATCTTTCATCAAATGAAATTTACCAGTTACCAGATTCTCTTTGCTATCTACATACAATTGTGACTCTTAAAGTTGACGACAATCAATTGAATGCACTGCCAAACGACATTGGACAGATGTCAAACTTAGAGGAGCTTATAGTTACTAAGAACTTCCTTGAATATTTACCACCATCAATAGGACTATTGCGAAAATTACACTGTTTGAATGCAGACAATAACTATTTGAGATGCCTTCCACCAGAGATTGGAAGTTGCACTGCATTATCATTGCTTTCATTGAGATCAAACAATCTAACTCGAGTTCCGCCTGAATTGGGACATCTATCCTCTTTAAGAGTGCTGAATCTCGTAAACAATTGCATCAAATTTTTGCCTGTTTCTATGCTGAACTTGAGCAATCTAAAAGCATTATGGCTGAGCGACAATCAAAGTCAACCATTGGTACCACTACAACAGGAATTCAATTGTGAAGAAGATATGATGGTGTTGAGTTGTTTTATGCTCCCACAAAAGCCGCGGCAAGAATTAGAGCGTAAGTATTTTCATATATTATCATATGAATCATATATTTATCATATGAATTATGATAGTATAACAATTCAATAACTATAATGCATGACATATTAATGCTGCTAGTGGAGAATGAGGAGGAAGATGAGGAATGAAATGGTAATGTAAAAGTTAGTGAAAGTATACACGTTGTCTAAAATAGGTCGATTCTTGTTTTAAAAGATTTCGAAACTTTTAATGTAAAAACTTCTGTATTTGTTACATACAGAGATAACACCGGCTGTAGGATTAATTTCAAGTTCGATCGTTGGTACTGGAAAAAGAATATGTTTTGCTGCTGAGGTAGAATCTGAAATCCCTAGACAACTTCATCGTGCACCAACTCCCTACCCTAAAGAACTGCGCAACCTTGCAAGGCATGCCCGAAATTTACATCATCAATCAGCACATGATCAACGAGTAAGTATGATTCGGTATTCACTGTTAATATTTTTTATTTTAATTTGTTACTGATTGTATAAAAAAGAAGTTGAAAAATTTGTAGTGAAAGTAGCACTGGATTTATCATATCAAGTGCCATGGATATTTTTGTTGCATTTTTTTTTGTGTACTTTTGTATGATCAACATCGAGAATACAAGAAGATTGCCAATTGAAACTTGCAGATGCAATTAGAACAGGAGACTATGATTAAAGAAGCTATTATTGCTACAACTACTCTGGACCTTACCTCAAAATCTGGAACCTGTTTTTCACAAAGTTTGTTTAATAAGGTATTAATTAGAGAATTAATTAGAGTAACTATTATTGATAACTTCAAAGATAAAGAAGTAATCTAAAGCAAATAAATACGAAAATCGATACAAAATTTGATAGAGACAGTATTTTAAATCTCTTACTACTAAAGAATTAAACATGGAATAATTAAAAATTTCTATTTCTTAGGGTTCACATTCGTCACTTTCACCAACCGAGCGTCACACATCAAAAGCGTACAAGAACAGTAGTCTTACGGATGTTGGAACAGAGCAGTCTGTTTCAGAAGAATCTTCCGATGAAGCTAATAAAACCGTACTCGCGAAAGAGAAGAGTCCTGATATCCGAGAAGCAAAATATATTCGTAACCCAACATCTGAGTACCTTTCTAAGACTCCAACGGTAGCAGATTATGTTAATTCCACTTGGAAACCAGATGAGTATTCGAAGGCAAATACAGCAAAAATTGTGGAATCAGAGAAATTTATAGAACCTTTTAAAACTGTACCCATTACCGTGGGTGTTAAGAACACTGATCAAATGCACATTCAAACACCAAAAGTAAATGAAGTTCCACCAGTTCCACCACCGTATCATATTGCTGCTGCGTTTTCAAAGAAGGCAGCATTTTTTCAACAATTAAATCAATGTATTTATATTAAATCATTTTTTTAATATTTTTAAAATAGTATATAAGTACAAATTTTTTAATATTTATTTTATTCTAGCAGCTCAATCAGACTCGTCGACAATCTCTCCTCCACAAACGGATATCAACATATCAAGTTCAAAGCCATCGCAAGAAACACAAATGCAAAATTATGACGGGTGTGGGGAATTATATAAAGCAGAAGAACGCTTGTGCAACGATACATTTTCGCTCAATAATACGGATGTTACAAACGCTTCGAGTAACGATGGAAAAACGAGTTCTTCCAGTGCTGATCAAACGCAAATATCTACAGAGTCGAACGACCCGGAGCAATCTATCGAAGGGGATCGATCATTGAAACCGAGCAGAATTCCCATTCTGAAAACGAAACATTTAGACAGCACAAATTCAATTTCGAGTAGCGATCTATCGAATAAATGTATAAACTCTTCGGTGGAAGATTACGAAGCTTTAAAACTATTGAATGCGTCATGCATACCAACGTCCCCGGTAACCGGAAAAAAATATCGAAGTCCATTCTCCATGCAAGCTAAATTATCAGACAGGTCGAAAAAAGTGTTAAACGGAAGCATTTCGAATCACAATACCTCGTGTGATAATTTATCAGTGAATATGATTAATTCCAATCAAATTGGAAATTTGAATATTGAAGGAATTATCCCAAAAATTATGTCTAACGAAACGTCGAATATGAACAGTCCTGTTAATATAAAAAATGAAGCTAACTCTGGTAGAAGTACACCAATTTTAACCAATAATAAATCTTCAAACGAGCTGACCATTTCTAACATTGACAAGTATAAAGTTGCTGGACCGAATGATTCATTGAGTGCAGAGAGGAAACCAAGATTCAAATGGATGTTTGGACCCCACAAAAATGCTAACGTAGTATGTTCCTTTTTCTTTATTAATATTATAATAATATATTTGATATATTTTAGAGTATTTTTATTATTTTTTCAGTTGCCTGTTCAAGTAAAAAAGAATCCAGGTCTCGGTTTTAGCATAGCCGGTGGAGTGGCGGGCGCGGAAACCGTAAATATTGCACATTCAAAACGAATACAGTAAGTTTAGTAAATTTTCTACATTTTAACAGCTTGTATTACTTTAGGGAATTATCGTAACTAAAGTGAACCCAGACGGTCCAGCGCAAGGAACACTTCGACCAGGGGACAAAATTTTGGAGGTGGATGGTATAGACTTCACTAAATCTGACCACAACAATGCAGTTGCTGTCCTTCGAGCTACTGGCGCTGTGGTATCCATGATGATCAGCCGCCATCAATGACATTAAATTGAAAGAGAAATATTTTTCGTTTGTATTTCGCGAATAAGTTACGCACATCAGACTGAGTACACCTCACGTAAGTTTTTTTTAGTGTATATACATAGATCCGTTATTAATTAACATTGACATACGCGCGCGCGCGCACACACACACAACATGAAATGCACGAGAACACGGAAGTTCGATTTTGTTTGTTCTAAACGCTTGTTTTCGCGGTAGTAAATCGTACTCTTTCCAATACTATCGAGCGACTGAATTGTACGACTGAAACAGCGTTACCAAAGGTGGGAGTGGGGGCAACTTACCCGAGGAAAACATTTCTGACTTCCAGTGGTTACGAACCGAGGTTTTTTGAGCAATGAAAAATAGTATAAAATTTGAGGGAAGAATTTGTTTCGTAGGTTATACCGTATAGATTAGGAACGCGTTTCCCTGCATCATTTACCATGAGTAAAAGAGAAAGAAAAAAGTTTGAAATGTGATGTACAGGAAAAAAATTATGTTTAAGAGAGAAACTTTCTTCTGATGGGCCAATCCACAGCTCATTCGTATTATTTGCCCATGTAAGTAGGTAAGGTAGTGAACTATTTAGCGAACGATTAATATAGAATTGATAAGATTCTTTCCGAATTTCTAACTCCATAAAAAGCTGCATATATATTTGTGTTGCTTTTATGGTGTTAGCTGTAATTTGTGTCAACTCACTCGTTCTCTTTGCAAAGAGCTGACAAATGTGCCAGAAAACAATATACTATTTATTAATCGTATACATAAAGAAACAAAAAAAATATTACTATATATATATAATATTGTGTGAAGTATTTTGTATATGTAGAAATGGTTTTTCTACAAATTTATCCTAATGTGTATAGATGTTGAAAAGCACAAAGAGTTCCATGACTATTATTTGCTTGTGTCGTTTACGATTGATACTTCTCTTTTAACGGTACATTTTATGTTAAAAACACATCTGTGAGAATCTTGTTAGAACAAAAAGAAAAAGAGATATTCTTCTATGTGCCGTAATTTTACTTGCAACGTTTTAGAATCGTTTTTTTTTTTTCTTTATCGATTATCTCAGTGAAAAATTATTTTATCGAAAGTATATTATTTTATTTAAACAACTTTTTACAATTTTTTGTTTGCTTGCCATTGATTCGTGATATGTTTGTTTTATCGTGTACACTAACGATCTTTTTATCACAGTGTAAACTGTTAAGTGTTTGATAAAAGTAGATCTTTATTGTTATGGTTGTGAATTATTATATTCGATTCATTCTATACTAAAGGAACAAGATGTATGTACCTTGTAGAAACTGTTTTTTAACAGCAGTTATTATAATACGGCACAACCGATTGCCGAAATCGTAAGATAAAACTCACTACTTTTCTATGTTAGCGAAGTTATATCGCAAAAAAAAAAAAGAAGAAAAAGATGAAAGTTATTCATGTAAATGGAGTAGAACTGTGAGATAAATGTTTTAGAGAGGTTGTATGATGATGTATAGCACAAGTGAACTGTTCATGTCAAGATATGAGTTATAACAACCAGTACACTATTTGTATCCCAGAACTTTTACAACAAGATAACAATATCGCACTTCATTTTACCTCGCATACAGAACAATTACTATTGCACATTCTCTTTATCTATGCATTTCATTTTTTTTTCTATACACATTCTCTGTTACAGTTTTAATTAGTCTCACTATACTGTAGCGACATATTTAGAAGATACGCTTTTTTATGCATTTCATACGTATTACTTGTGTTTTACATATTTTTTCTTTTTAGAGAAGCAAGAGGTCTTTCAAAAATGTCGTTTTCGATGTTACAGTTACATGGTAGCTTTACAATGGGAAATGTACGTACGTACGCGCGCGCGCGAGTTGAACATGAATTCAAACGTAATGAATTGTTCTATTCTACAACTAACTGACCTTCGAATTTCTCTGATGTATTGTTTAAAGCTACGGTGAAGTTTAGAACTTCCAGAATTGAGAATTGTAACGGAAAAAAGTGTTATATTTTCAGAAAGATTTCCTTCATGAATAAGAATCGCACCTTCTATGGAAAATACGTAGAATTTTGATATATTTTAGAAGTAATGCTGAGAAAATGAAAAAGAACAGATTATTTTTTATTCTCATTTATGTATTTTGTGAAAGTAATTTTAGATGACTATATATACTCAATTATAAAGTATTCTTAGTGAAAGTTATATATGTGTATATATATATATGTTTTGATTATTTTTTATGAGTACATGTAGTTCTATTATAAGAAAGCAGCTTGGTATTTAAACTTTTTGGACTAACTACATTACCAGTAATAATCTGCATACCTAGTCATATTGGAAAGTAAGAAGTATAATTGAGGGTGGATTGTACTTTCATCTAGTGACGTCTGTATTTCTATTAATAATTATTTTGTGTAGGTTTTCTTTTTAAATATCAGTTTTTACCTATAAGAGCTATGATGGAAAGGAATGATATATTTATTGTATGCATTTATGTTTCAACAAATACTCTTTGAATGTGTTTTTTCATAGTATGTGTACAAACAGGATTTTGCATGTGTATTCATGTCTCTTTAGCAGGATCAAAACGTCTCGTTAAAAATATTCTGTTATGCTCAAATACTCAATTAGAATGTTTTACAGGAGAAATTGATATTTTGATTATCAAAACTTAAAAAAAACTTTGGACCATAAGGAATGCATATACAATCTTTTCTACTACTCTAACTATTAAACAGACTGACTACTTTTTGAGCAAATATTTAAGTGGCATTTAAGGGAATGTATTGATTGTATTGTACGGGAAATGTGTGATTGAAAATGCGATACATTAAACTGTACAAATAAAAAATTACAAATATATAAATGAACAAGTGGTCGTACTCATTATTCAAATCTTTATTTCAATTGATCTTTTTTTTATTAACTTTCTTTTGTTTTAATAATATTAATGCATAATTTCAATGATTTCATAAAACGATGTTTTATGTATAAAAAGAGGAACCATAAGAAAGAGAAAATTAATCAGTACAACCACTTCCTTAACATATATTTTGGAACACCTACTTAAACAATTTGTATGACAATGTATGATAGATTAAATGTACAAAAATGCTCACAGTTTGACTGGTCACCATATAATAACTACCATACAGTTGTAACACTTTGAATATGTTAGAAAAAGATATTTTACCTTTCTTAAAAAATCCTAGTTGTTTGTGCAGCAATAAATAAATTAATATTTACGTACAAAATGTTTTTAAAATTTTATTACACTGTACATATTGATTACTCCGAAATTTAAATACAATTGCGAAGATACTCGATTGTAGAAATTATTACGTATAAAAAATATTCCCATTGGAAAATCATGCTCACCGAAACATCTTTGAAATATGCCACTTTCATGCTCCTATCAGTAAGAACGTAGGATTTTCGACGTAGTACTTCCACAGATTCGAATATTTTGCCATAGTGACGCCATCCACTACTCGGTGATCAGCTGCCCAGCTGATTGAAATTATGCTCGCTGCTATTACGTTTCCTTTGTCATCGAATCGCGGTAATTTTTGCACTTTGCCAAAAGCACCGATCGCGATTTGCGGAGGTAAAATCACAGGTTTCGTATACGTGCCACCAATCTGTAAATGGCGGTTAAAAATATTTCAAACGACGCATCGATGTCATGTGACCGACAAATCGATATTGATAAGTGTAAATCGAACGTTCGAAACGGACTAAATAATGAAATAGACCGTTTTCATTTGAATCTAAATTAAATTAGCATTAAATTTAAATTTAAATTGAATTTGACAGAAAGTACTTTCTAAATTCAATTCAATCCCGTAACGATTAACAAACGTAACGATTAGAAAGCTCTCATGGTAAATTAGTTTTTAAACTTACGATACCGATGTTGGATAACGAGAACGTTGTATTCGATAAATCGTTCAGCGATATCGCAGACTTCTTTCCGAGTTCTTGAAGCCGGTTCAATTCCCTCGCGATTTCCAGAATATTCAATTTCTGAACATTTTTAATATTCGGTACGACTAAACCATCAGGAGTGTCCATAGCAATACCAATATTATGGTTCTCGTGAACCTGCAGTGCCTGATTTTCCTCATCCAACCAGGAATTTATCTGAGGCACTTTTTCCAAGGCTCTAGACGCCGCTTTTACGAAGAACGGCATCAAGCTCAAAGAGACGCCTTGCTCTTTCAGCGAGTCCTTTACTTCGTTCCGGTAATCCATCAATCTGTTCACGTTACACTCGTCGCTGTATATGAAGTGCGGTATGCTCTGTAAACACGTCGAGGTTTTCGTACATTTTTCAGCCACAGTCGCGTTTAATTACACGTTTATTCGGTGATATGCAATTAACGAAGTCAGTACACACAGAGTTACGTATACACATCATATTTGAACGTTCAAGATAAGAGGTGGGGGTGGTAGAGGAGCGAGGAGACGATTAAAATGACCGTATTTTCCGAAACACTTTAACCATGTTTCATCTGTCAACGTTGAAACGGGAATTTCGGCCGAGTGCACCGGATTCGATCGATCGCTATCAATCGCGTGTGTCAACGTCACTTTTAGACGACGCACTTCTATTATCGTGTCCGCCACTGCTTGTCTCCCGTTTCAAACCGCCATGATGCACGGGATTTCGGCCTGACACTCGATCTTGTTACCGTTATCAAATTACAAACTTTTTGTTTCTTTCCCTCGGCTGCTTGCTCTCGAAACCGTTGTCGTGTCGTTTAATCAGTAAACCAGTTTATTCGTCGCATCATTAACTCGCGTCCTCGTCACGTATTGTTTTAGAACGATTAACCGGCAGTTTATTCAGCAGCACTCCACCACGTGGGTCACGCGATAGCCGAAATTCCGTTAATTTTGCAATTTACGCGTGGTTTGCGTTTTAATCCCGACCACCGGTTTATTAATATCGCGGTAGCGTTACGACGTTATCGTAACATTTCATTTCCGTGGAAAATGATTGTTTAATAACAATATATACGTATATAGGGAACTCGATTGAAATGTATATTTTTATTTTCTACGTTGAAATAAAGAATGTGTAGAAAGTGAAGAAAGAAGAATCTCGAAGGAGTTAAGGTAAGCTCGATTAGAATAATTTAAAAATAAGCTAGACTTAAAGCATATAGAATAGACTGTAGAAAAGACAAGTATAATGTGAAGTCCATACGAAGAAAATAACAAAATGTATTTCCTTAGAACTTTCCGCTTTCCACGATATTCCCCTGTAAGTAGTAGAAAATCTAACTTACCAGAGACTGCGTCATCGTTTTCCACATATGCTTGCTATAGCCTTTTATCGGGACCACCGTCACATTAGCTGTTGGTTTTTCTTCGACCCTTTTTCCCGCGGAACTGGGAGAAATTTTTCCCAAGTGAGCCAATATATCCTCCTTAAGCACTCGGCCACCTTTGCCCGTGGAAACGACGTCCTTTAAGTTAATATTGTTCTCCATGGCTATTCTTCTAACCGCTGGCGTAGCCATCGCCTTGTCTTCTAACCCATGTTGTCCTACGTGTTTTTTCTCCTCGCTGTCGCCACTCTGTCTACTCTCAGTCTTTGTCGTCTGCTGCTGTTGTTGGTTGTCAGAGATCTTTTCGTCTCGTCCGTTCCCATTATCGCCATCTAGTTCGATCTCCAGCAATGATTCTCCTATCAGAGCCACCTCATCCACCTTGTAGTGCAAGGCTTTAATTAATCCGTCGTAACGGCTGGTAATCGTCACAGACGCTTTGTCGCTTTGGACCTCGCAAATGTTATCGAATTGAGACACCCGGTCGCCTGGTTTCACGTACCTATGCATTCGAATGCGTCAAGTACAGTTCAGTTGCGTTTATCGTACATTTAGGACAGCAATACACTGTCATCTACCGGCAGATAGATGTGTGTCGGTGTTAGGTAATGTACCATCAGCGGGAAGCAATCTCTTTTTTTTTTTCAAATGATGTATTCTTGGGGAAAGATAGTCTGATGGTGGTGGTGGAGGTGGTAAGGGGAAATGATCGGTAATTGTGAAGGTTTCGCGGGTACGACGGTTAAATTCATTGTTTTGCTTACCATTCTTTTATCGTGACGTCTCGAATTCCTTCTCCGATATCCGATAGTTTGAAGGGAACGACAGTTCCGTATCGAAAGCAGCTTATGTAGAAAAATCGACATTTTTGATCGCGTACATTCCTACCCTAAATAAACATGGATTTCTTTGTATATTCGTCAGCAATAACTTGGAAATCCTTACTCGTGTCTGAGCGTTCACCTGTATCATTTATTTTAAATCGTATATTTGAAGCTGCGGAACGGGGAAATTGCATATCGAATGATAGAACTGCAAAGAATACCGTGTTTCATTTCAAATTTGCCGCGTAGCAATGGAAACCGATTATCGATCGATTCAATTTCTATTGATATGTATCGTTCGATATTTGTGTGACGTATTAGCAGACATCTTTAGTTCAAATTTTGACTTATGCGGGTACGTTAGACGCGGTAGAGTTTATGTAAATAATTGTGCGATTAACTAGTCAAAAGTGAATAACAAAGTAATAAAGTGTAAAGTGGTTAGAATTCTCTTTGAATAATTTAAGCCAGTGTCTCAATTAAGTCGGCTGTTCATCGGTAATTTGTTCTCAGACCTCAAGATAGACACTAATCTTAATGGAGCTGATAAGGAGAGTACCCCAACCGGTAAGTAATTAACCAATTATGAGATTTATCGCGTTTTTCGACGTTTATAGATACAAAAAATTATCGCGGCGTATATATGATATTAAAAAATCATCGATAAATGGGAAAATACGTATTGCAAATGTTTAAACAACAAATTATTCATCGTCACAATTACCCCATTTGGCAGGAAACGTCTCTCAATCACGTGACGTACTTTTCTTTAAATCATGCAATCAAGGCAATTCTCACACTTGCAAACCTTCATAGTTGCTAATATCATACGACGACATCACACTCGATTCGCAACGAACAGAAATCAAACTTCAAGCCTTTCGTAATTCCCTATCAATTTTGTACCTTGCATTCTGGTACAACGTGGACACTTTCAGCAACTTTGATCGGTCGAGCAGGTCGCGTGTTAATTTCATTTATTGCATCACGGGTACGCGTTTATTAGTTTAGTAGTTCTCTGTCGTATAATTCGTGCGAGACCACAGAATCGAATGTGCATCGTAAGAGGCGTTCCGTAGCAGAACATATCGCCACTGTATGCAGAAGTTAAACAAGCCCGATAGAAAGGACACATAACAAGGCTGCTAGCCGATTCGCGTCGCGTCAATTACACGCATCAAACGACACGGAACAGGGAATATTTGTAGTTTACTGTGACCTTTGCATACACGTTCTCACCCGTTTGTCTCTGTTCGATATTAAACACGATAAACGTTCCCCCGAGTAACCAACACGGTTAGTGTCAGAATTGTAAACACGCTGCCGAAGATTACCGACAACAGTCGAAATTATACGATGACGGTCGCCATGATTTCTACGAGGCACGATCGCTAATTTGGAAAACTATCGTTCTATATAAACAGTGTTCTCTTACCAGAAGTGTTAAGGCTGTGAGTCTGCAGGTTAGGGCCATTGTTAAGAATCCTCGCCAACTCGAATATCTTTTCAGAAGAATGACACAATTCCCCGAAAAAGCAAGAGATTGTGGATGATCGTGCAGAGTAGCAACTTTTAAGCAAGTGCTCTGTTATCTCATTCTCATTAAGTGTTATCGAAATATATATTTGTAGCGTAGCCGCGGTGAGTTGTGAAATGTGTGAGTGACACTGGTGAATAATAAGTGTATTTCACGATTGACGGATGATCGTATCCGATTGCATTTCTCTGACGTTCGTTCGTTGAAAGTTGCAACACCGCTTCCGTTGGCCGAAAAGTTTGTAATCGGTCGGTTATCGAAGAAGGTTTATTCTGAGCTTTGACACGGATTAAATAGCATTCAAATTTAATGCACATCGGATCTCCATACTAATGAAAGAGCCAGTGAAAGATAACGATTACTTTTAAATATAACCGCTTGACCCATGATGCACGTGCTTCTTGTGTTCTGTGCTGTTATTCGACGATAGTCACGTTCGTACGGAATCGAATATCGGGCACATTGTGTCACATTCTATTTCGACGACCTCGGGAAATATTTTCGTTCTTCCCTTGCTTGCTGGAAAAAATTGGACTCCGCGACGAATATACGGGTCATGAATATTCTCGCGCGGGTCACCCGGTATTAAGATGCGCTCGAATGTAAAACTAACCTTGCGTATATAATAGTGGTTCGCGTGTAAATGTCGAATGCAAGAGGTGAAGTTTTGCTGTGATTCTTTGTGCTTACAGCTACGGTTTCTGGGTGAATAAATCTTGTTTATTTTTTAACTGTATGTACAATAGGATATACGTAAGTGTAGGAAATAAGTTAGCTCGTGATAAAACGTCGTTTCACTTATTATTTATCCAGGAAAAAATTAAGAAAGGTGACGTAATGGTCTTTTCTCATAGAAGTTATCAGACAAGCGTTCCAATTTAGCGACACATTAAATGATACTGAACACGCCGATGAAATTCAATTTTCTTCGATGGATATGATTACCGTCTGCCAGTAAATTGGAATCCAATTAGACGTGCACGTGCAGCGCCATTCTTCCCTAATGATTTTTCTATTACTAACGCGTTTCTCAATGGTGAGACGCGAACACGGTTGGCTGCATTACTTCTCCGTTATCTTGGAGAATATTAAAACCAGCAGCCTCCAGGAACAGACAAGTGTAATCGGTTATACAGGACGTGGAGCTGAAAGCGGCTAGATAATTTTATTCTGGTCGCGCTGCTAATTTATCGGTCGCTAAAATCAGGTTACAATTCCATAAGTCATGAAGCGAACGTGACGTCATCGAATCTATTCGTAGCGAAGGGAACTAAAATTATTTCGTCGAACATAGAAGATGATTCTAAGCGCAGAAATAAGTTAAAGGTTGAAATTATTTTCTCATGCAGAATCAATCCTTTGTACATCTTGTGACGGTGATGCGTCGACTGGCTCGAGAGATTTTAGGCGAAGTCTCGCGCGACCGTTAGCCGCGTACCGTAGGTGTAGTTCGCGTCAGGCCCAACGCTAATTCGTTAATTTGAATAGGTCATATATTTAATTAGCTTCCGCTCCTATTGGAAGAAGATTTATTCGTTTTTTTTTTTATAAATATCCTTAGTTTATTTTCGCAATGGGAATATAATTTTTCTTTAGCGTTGAAATGGAAAGGAGGAGTTGGGTTCTATATACATAGGTTAGGTGAATAACAAAATGCAAGAGTTCCTTTTGACGGGGCAAATCTATTTCAATGCTCGGTGTTATAATAAAAGATACAAAGTTATCTTTTTGTACGATGCTTCGTGTTTAATGGCTTCGCCTCGAAGTATACTCGTTCTCCATCGTGTATACGCCTGTATTACACTCTTCATCACAACAACGACAGAATGTTCACACGCTCGTAACAACCACCATTGCGTCATTCGTATTTAGAATCGTCGAAGATTACAATTTCAAAACGTAACATTCGTCAATGTTGCAACGATCTATCCCTTCTACGTTTCGACTTTTCTGCCCGATATCTCGAGTTTTTCATTTTTGGAATTGCAATCTTCAAAAAAATAAAACGCCAGTTGAACCGAGGTTAGTCGTTAATCGAACCAGTCGAGTGTAAATCTTGATATTGGTCGAGCCAGGTTGAAGTTCGCGTTAAAGCGATTTATTTATTGTCTACCATTCATGGAAGAAGTGTACATTGAATTTGCGCGCGTGTGTCGCGTACAGTAGTCGGCCTAGTTTCAACAATTTTCCTCCATACCTTCCCCCCTCCCTCCCCTCCCCCTCCCCCTATCTGTCATCGTTCCTTCCTCTCACTCCTAGTGCTCCAGTTATCGCTTCTAAAGTGTCAAACTATCGAATTGCACTTCTTTTACGATCCTTTTTCTCTCCCTTTTTTTTTTTTATTGACTGCTGGTAATTCCGTATTTTTCGTCGGAAACAACAGAAATAAACCTTTGAAACTCTCAACTGGATAAAGATATTGATTACACGCTAAAAATAATAACGATCTATCGGGTGGACGATACGAACGATGTTATACACGGAAACCGGTGAACTTGATAAATTATACAATTTACGTTAGAAATTTCGGATTCCGTTCGTGGCCGCGTAATATACTGGTTCGTAACAAACATTCCTTTACAGTTCGTTCCAAGTGGATAGCGCCACTTTCGGATTTGTAAAGTGAAATAAATAATTTTTCACGTGAGATTTCGCGCAGCGAATAGATTCGGTGTGTACAACTCTGTCTAATAACATATACACGTTGCAGTCAGATGCCGAAATTCGTCAATATCCGACCCAATTAGTCAAAACTAATTAGCGAAACTAGTCGTAACTAAAGAAAGCTAGTAACAACTGTAATATAAGAATAATAAATAAATTTATTGTGTATTTTATTTGTTAGAACATGGCATATATTCTCGAGACATTTCCAGTTACAAAGGTTTCCCTTTATTTCGCAAAGATGTCGCTTTCGAGCTCGATGTTTTTTGCGCGAACAGCGAGCGCCATCCTTGCCACGTTCGAACGAAAACACATCTGACCTTGGAAAAAGTTTCAACCGACCCGTTTCAGTCAATATGTGCCACTGTAGTTGATTTCGACTAGTCAAAACCGGTAAATACGTTAACCTAGCCCTATGCACTCCACCGGCGTCGTACTGGCCACATGAAATAAATAACTGTAAGGAATGCGAGATTTCGGCGGCGAAGTGGTGGCCTGGACTTTGTCGCCAGGGAAGAGAAAGTGCGCGGGTACCTGAGGGTGCCATGAACTAAGCCCTTTCCCCGGAAAGTCGAACGGGGGGGCTCCAACGGTTTTTCGAAGCAACGTAGGATAGGACGCGCAGAGGCCACTCTCGTTACAGCCGTCGAGCGAGACGCACACCCGAGTACCTTAGTCACCGCTTGTATTAAATAATACATTTTGGTTAATAGCCTATCCTGTGTTCGTTTTTTTAAGCTGTGCTAACATAACTAAATAAATTCATAAACATTCACAATGTCTTTTATTCGAGATAAAACCTTTCGTTTGCAAACGCTTCACGGTAGTATCAAAAAATGCTTGAAGTGCTTTGAATACTTTCTTTTCAGTAACAAATAGTTTCAACCAATAGAACACGGTTAATCCCAGAATTAACTAGTCGAAACTAAGCATTGACGAAAGAGATTTATTTAAATTAGTATTGACCAGGAAGATCGGATTTTTGACGGGATTTGGGTTTCAACTGTAACATATAAGAATAACAACAATAATAATA